TTAGGAGGATCTATTGAAAGAAATATAGAAAATAATATTTATAGGTAAGTTCACTCGTGTATAATCGCGTGAAAACAAGAATCATTGTGGGGTTTTTTTACCTTAGAATGAGCCGTTTTTATCTACGAAGGGAGCAGGCACTCTTCTACAGAGGCTGCCATGTTGAATAGCCATGTTTCTACAGTAGTCCAGAACGGACAAACCAAACGCTGGCTCTAGATAGGGCCTTTCATGTTTTTTGCGAGTTTTGTGGCCACCATAGTTTCTTCTACACGCTTGGAAGGCTGAGCGGTTTCCAAATAGTTACAATCTGCACATTGTTGTTACATTAAATCCCTAGGAGGAGGCCTTGCTTTAGAGTAAAGAAATTGAAAAAACAAAGAATTTCCTTGACAGGACCAACAAAATAAACATCACATTATATTACATATATTACAGGTGTTTTTTTTTCCATTGATTTTTTTCCCTCTAAAATGTTCCCTGTATTAAATGAACAAGGAAAAGGTTGTGTATTCTGGATAGATTATAAAAGGCGCGTATTTAATGTTAAGGTTGTGGAAATGATTTATATTATATATATTATACATATTATATATATTATGCCCAGTAATATTAAAAACATTTTCCTGTCTTCTCAATACATTAAAGAAAATTAATGTGGGATTTACAGCCACCTGCTAGTTGACTTGCAGGCTTACTGCTGCTGGCTTTCCTTGAGAGCCACTTCAAATTGAGCAAGCAGTTTGAGACTGATTGAAGCAATTTTCAGCCAAAGGAAAATATCATGGCTACTATGACATTGCAGCCTCTGCAGTGTCTGCACCACATGGTTTTCTATCTGATCGGTGACAAAAAAAAAAACGAAAGAGGATAGTAGGCTGATGTTAGAGGAGGAACCACTGCCTGACAGTGAACAAGACCCCAATACCTTACTTAAGTGCAATCCAGTATTGTCCTTTTGTGTTCTAGGTCGCTGTCAGTCTTCCCTTTACTGAGGGACTCTGTGACCTACACTCCTGTCAGATGCTGACTGACAACCACTTCCTCCAGCTAAAATTCAGCCTCCCTGCATGGTCAAACTAACAACAAAGTACTTTTATCAGTACTCAAGCATGTCAGATTGTAGATAAACTACAACAGACAACCCGGTTATATATACTGTATACATTAGAATGCATACGAGGATTCATATATATATACATATATATATATATATATATTTTTTTTTTTTAATCCATCTATGTGCTTTGTTTGAATACCCATAGATGACACCGCAGCCACAGAGTCTGATGAGTCGGTGGTGGACCGCAGCTATGTGAAGAAGAAGCTGGAGCATGGACTGACACGGATCTGGCAGGTTAGGAAAGAGCAGTATACTTTATCTTTCCCTCTCTATGGTCTGAGCCTCCTTCATCTCCACTTCTAGTTTTTTCTTATAATTTATTCCCCCCCCAGTTTTCTGCTTAACTCAGGGTTGCTCAATCACAAGTTCCCCTCCAACAAATCACCTTATCCCTCTCACTTCTCTCTTCAGGATGTCCAGTTGAAAGTAAAGGCCTACATCCTGGGGACAGACATGTCTAACTTCAAGTACGACGATTTCATAGTGGTACTGGATGTCATCAGCAGGTATGCCGCGGGGCCAGAGCAGCCAGCTCGTCCTTGTTTCCACTAATTGCTCTTCATTTTCATTGCTATCACTGTCTCTTTCTCCTTGTATTTCTTTCTCCTTTTCAGGTTGATCTGCTTTCACATGCAGTGTCTCTTTTTTCCCTCTTGTTTCTCACAATACTCATTTGCTCAGTAATTTACTCATTAACTGACTCAAATTAGGGTAACACACCTACACACAAACACACTTACACACAAACACACGCACACACACATTCCCTTGTCTAATAAGAAAGTTCTCATTGACTTTGTTTTTCAGACACATCAAAACTAGAATTATAATGCCAGTATGTCCAAACCCATTTAAACACCACACTTTGATTGTAAGAACTATGATTATAATAATGTGATACTCCAGGTTATTTTGCATTAACGGACATCAAATAGGAAGGACGTTTGTGGGTGGAAGGAGTCAGAGATTTTGAGTTTTGAAGAGAATCCAGGATATTACTGTGCATGTTTTTAAGTCCATCTGAAATTATGTGTCAAAATAAGTCACTTTAGATCTCTTACTTTTACAAGCAGGCTTGTGTGTTCCTTTGCTTCAATACAACTGCCACAGTACATTGTCTGTCCCTTGACTGGCAAGTTACAGTTGCCAGAGCTAGTCTGTTTACATTGTGTGTCTTTGCCCCTGCTGGCTCAGCTGTCAGTTAAACACATACAGCCATCCTCCTCCAGAGGCCTTCACCTTAGGGGTTTGTTTGATGTGTACCTGAAGAGTCTTGTCTTTACTGAATCAGTTTTAATGATTGTTTATGCAGAAGCACATATACAATATAGGTACAGAGGGAAATTAAGATATTTTTTTGCAATAAAACTTTATTCCACTAACTACTTTATGAATTTACTCATATTGGCAGAAATCTGGAAATCAGTTGATCAAGTACTCAGCGGTCTTAGCTTGCAGTGGTTGTTCCCTCATCTTTCAACCATCTCTTCCAGGTTGATGCAGGTGGGTGAGGAGTTCTGCGGCAGTAAGTCCGAGGTCCTGCAGGAGTCCATCAAACGCCAGAGTGTCAACTACTTTAAAAACTATCACAGGTAGGATGTTTTCCATCGCTCCCGGACCGGAACATGTGACATTCATTTCTTTTCTTTAACTGTGCTGATAGGCTTGATTGTGTGTGATTATTTAGACACAGAGTGCATGGATCTGACATGGCAGTCGCCCAATATCCTTGAAAGAAAGTAGTTGAGACGATGATAGATGATTCTTGGATAGCAAGTAATCATTGCTTGATAAAAACCTTTACACACAACCACAACCATGCCTTGATCATGCTCTATTCCCAGCGTAACGCTCTTTGGAGTAGATGTGTAATTTCACAGTAATACTCACTGAGCTGGAAGCACATTTTCTTCTTGATTACATAACCCCCTGCCAGCCACATGAATATGTATGCCTACACACAGACACATCATCCGAGGTGATTTGCACTGATCAGTGTTGTGGTTGCCTGTCAAGAAACATTGATAAGATTCTTAAATATCAGAATCCTGATGAGCTTAATTCCTGTGACACAAAATGGCAAAGGAGAGAGACACAGAGGCATGATGGGATACAGTAAATCTTCAGATCAAAGGTGATGAGATGGAGGTGATATTGGTGTGAGATTGTAATCGGAACTGAAAAAAGAGCGTTAGAGAGAGAAGAAGAGGGGATGGACACCAGGCAGCATAACAAAGGCACATTATGCTACACCCCGCCACTGTGTCCATGTGCACACACACACACACACACACACACACAGACATCAGCACTTTTGGCCAGGAGGCATCATCTTTACATTAGGTTTGATTCATTTTCCACCCGGGTGTCCCGAAGAGATTACCCATCAGTGAACTTTGACTGGCTGATGCCTGTATTTGTCTGTCAGCTGCCTGCAGTAATACACTCAGTCATCGGGGTGGATGTGTTGTTGGCCTGCGGGTGCAAAGGACAGAATGACATTGTCAGGGTTCAGACATGATAAATATCTAAGAGCTGTGCCATTGGTACTGATTTTCTCTGAGTGATTGAAATGTTTTCAAAGTTTTAATATCCTTTTAATTCTCTGTGATTTACATTAGAGAAACATAACTGTAGGGAAATGATGCAAAATGGGCCGGTTAAAGGTCCAATATTTTACACTTTTCCAGTGTTTTCTTTAAAGTTTTGATATCCATAAGGAGATATGATTATGTTTTTAAGTACCAAAAACCACCTCAGTATAGTTTTACATCTCCTTTCTCGTGTATTCTCTGTATTTTGTCCCATTAATTTCAATTAGCCTCTTTTCTGTTTGGGTTTGTGAGTGACGCACAGCCAGGCCAACCACAGGTAACAGATTGTAGCCTACCTGGATAAGTCATCCTTACAGAAGTCCTTAGGACTTGTTTAAAGGAGTTTCTGAATACAGGCTGTTTGCATTTCTCCAGCATGCTGTACAATGTTTAAGTCAGAAAGTTGAATTGGTTTCCCCTCTTTATTTCTGTACTATAAGGCTTCCCTTTCTCTCACTGCTGTTCCATGTTCTTTCACTTCTTCTAACTTCAAACACCTCTAAGACAAGTAACAAGGGATCCTGTAGTGTTTCAAGTCAACACTACTCGAACATTTCATACAAAAAAGACCTGATATTGACCTAGCGGGTGAGCACCGGGGGTGGCTGTCTTGACCTGTTAAACATATCACAGCCCATACACTTTTCCCTTTTCATCAGTGACCTTTGCAGCACATTTAATCAGCGCTCTCAGAACACATACGCTGCGTGAATATACAAAATGATATGTGGTCAGCAATGGACAGATGTTGAGTTCTTTTTCTCTATTCTTCTGGTCTTTGTTTATTCATTCCTCGTTCCCTTTTCTCTCGTCCCAAACCCTCAGGGCACGACTGGAAGAGCTGAGGATGTTTCTGGAAAATGAGACGTGGGAACTGTGCCCGGTCAAGTCTAACTTTAACATCGCCCAGCTCCATGTGAGTAAAAATCACATCACTGAGGCGAGAGAGTGAGGCACGGTTGCATTCATTTATTCCATGCTGTCACTCACTGCACAACCCTACCACTGTGAAATTTGCATATGGATATGAAACACAGGGGATCCTGCTCAATGATTTCTCTGTGTGGGTGTGTGTCAGTGTATTAACATAGGAGGAGGAAAGTTTGCTGCACGTTATATAACACAGAAGAAAATAAAATGGCTGTTGTCCCATGTGGCTTGTATGTTAGAAGATTTGATTTCCCACACTCATGAGCAGCAGTTAAAAATAAAACCTTAGATGTCAGAGCATCGTGTTGATCATGTCCACCAAAAATATTGTAGGTATCTCATGGACATGTACTATAACCAACTCAAAGAAAATCTAATTTTGCTCGCAGTGTGTTCAGCTCACTTCATGTAAAAGCAGAAATGATAAATGGAAAGAAAGAGATGTCAGAAAGATAAATTGAGTCAATTCAAAGTCAGAATTTTCATTTTCATACATCTGGTTTTTCCCTTCATGCTTGGGCACATTTTTGCAACAAACACACATGCCAAACAATCTTCATATTAAACCCACTGCCATGAGAATTTTGTATGGCTATACCACAGGCAACTGTACATAAAGTCTGCCCAATGTTAAAAGAAAGATTAAAGCTTCCCTTTTTTTTTAACAGTTTGTTATATGTGTCCAGTTATGTGCTTTTTTGTGACTTTAGCTCTTCAAACCCCACTGGGCACCAGTGTCGTGTAGAATTTAACAGACTGCTAGTACTAAAACTATATTATACTACAAAATGTTACATAAATACATACCTGTAATTGATGTATTATTAGACTCTGTTTTAGCCATTGTGGTGAATTTCAGAGAGAAATCCGTGTCTTAAAAATAATCCAGATACCATGGACCATATACAACTAAAAATAGGATTTTAATGGGACTTTATAGAGGAAGGTTTGATACACCTACACATCTGCAGCCTGAGGAAAGCCCGTAATTGAAGGTCAATACCTTAAAGGGAACAGAAAAATTATTCAAGAACAAGCATGTTGCCTTGCAAGCTAACAGTTTGCTTCTGTTTTTGCCTTTAGGCCAAGCTATGCACGCTATCGTGCTCCTGACTTGTTAGCTTGTGTTGTTCATCGATGTTCACACTGTATTTTCTATCACTGTTTTCTACCTAGTCATTATTGCTGATTTGGAGAAGCAGCCACTAATTAATAATAATCAAAATTCTATCCTGTACATTGTAGATTTTTGTAAGATAGTATGATTGTAAGCACAAATGCTGAAGTTTCTAAACCTCAGTTCCTTTTTCAATGTGCCTCAACTGTACCAGACATTAATCTACAGTATATCTGTCTCTTGTACTTCTCTGTCCAATCCTCTCCAATCCAGGAGTTTAAATTCATGGGCCAGTGTCGCTCTCCGTCCGTTTCCCCGAGCAGACAGGCCGTGTCCTCGACCAGCCCGACTCAGGAGGAGCAGTCTCTGTTCCAGGAGTACCTTCAGGAGGGAAACCCCTTTGAGATGCACGCTGAGAACAAAGAGGAGGAGACAGAGGACGTGCTGGCATCTAATGGGGTAAGTGCAAGGGAAGGAAATTGCTAACAAGCTAGTTGGTGCCTTCTTAATAGTTTGAAATTTGTAGTTAAAGTGTGAAACGCCCAGTCAGTCAAAAGGCTATAAAAGCAGTATCTAGTTACCACAGTGGTAGTGCTTGTTAACTGCTGATTCAGTCAAGTTGTCACACTAAAACTATGTCTAATTAACAAGGTTACCTGTTGAGGTAGAGCCAATTTGATTAATTGGACATAATCACTGTGAGTCATTAAGTGGTTTACAGCAGCCCTCAAGCTGTCACCACCAGGGCCATAACAAACTTTTTATTAATGGCGAAGGGCCAGCAGTGCAGAACCTGCCATGATTGTTATAACACGAATTGTCTGACTTGTAACAGAAGCTGTTAAATAGCGAATGAAATCTGTGGGTAGAGCCCCTGGCAGTGCGGATTAGAAACTTAAGACTAGAGCTGAATGTAATAATGTAATCTTTGTCATGTAGTCATTTTTCTATGGATTTTTGGGGGTCCTCATCCATCAGTATTCAATCATTTTCCTCAGCAAAGCAAAATTCCCTACTGGGCCATTTTAGTGTAGTGTTTAGTATCATTCAGCCCTCCAATATTAGAAACCTTTTTTATTTCTTAGAAACACATTTTGTACTTTGCGTTTTGTGCTAAACATAAATAGGCAGCACTTCACCTTACAAGAAATGTTTTACTGCCATTCACTTCTGCTGGCAGTCTGTGTTGTCTAGTAAAACTAATAGGCCTGCCACTTTAGCACCGTACATAAGTAACAGAGAAGAGCAATCGTGATTCTCCATCTTTGAGAGCCTGTTTGACTGTATCTATCAGTATGCTTTGTGCAACTGAATCTAGCTTGATTTGGGGAGGGAGCGTAAGCCTCTTTCCTTGTCCAACAACGGGAAGCAAGCGGTTCAGCCTGCCTGACAAATCTGAATCTGAAAACATAATGGGCATTGCATGTACCATTATATCAAACAACAGCCAGAGAGAATCAATAAACATTGCACAGTATGTGCTTTAGCAAGGTACTACACTAGTCAGGGCCTTCTTACTCTTTGAGGAAAGGTTAAAGTCTTTGTTATCACACACTTTGTTGCCTGACTGGGAATGAGAATTCGTCACTGCAGCTTTGGATTTGCTTTGATTTGCTTTTTTTTGGGTTTTGGAGCACAAACAAGTCTGCTGTAGGTTGCTACTTGCAGCAGCATCAGCATGAACCTCTGCCTCTCTTTGTTGAATTTCTCAGAAGTAGACTCGTATTGACTCACTTTTGACAACATTGTATGTTATAAAATGTGAAATAATAAATAACACTGTATGTACAGGTTAGTCTCAAATTGAACTTTTCAGCTCTGATAGCAGACTGAAGTGTAGTGACACTACATCTCTTTCAAGACTTATGTTGGGTTTTAACCAGATATCTATAGCATGGATACAGTGATCCAGAGAATATTGCCTTGTACTGTGGATATTCTACACATGTGCTCCTCCTATGACTAGTATAAAGTCCAAAATCAGTTAGTTGTACCTTGAAAGATTATTTGTGGAAAGAAACAGTATTTGTCTTTAAGAATAGACAGAAAAGAGATTACACAGGTTCCTTGGCACATCACCCACTTTTTTATATTGATATATTTTCCTTTCAGGCTCAACATCAAAAGCAATATTGTGCTATCTAACATATTAAGCTTACAGGGGCCCTAGCTTGGCTTGTACTTGAGCTTGTAATCCTTTCTATATGGCTGTTGTGTTGCCTGAGCTTTCAGTTAAGGACAAAGAAAATATTGTCTTTCTGCTTTAACCGAACTCTGCTTTACTCCTCAAGCCAGTCGTTTCATGGTTATGCATCCATCTGGGCTAAAAGATGGGGATGTGATCTTTCTTTTCTATTAGGTTTTGGATAATTAGCCCTTAAACATAATTTGGATTTCTTCTTAAAAAAATGCCAGTTTGTATTATCTTTTATTTTAAAACCTCTATGAACCATTCATTGAAGTGTGTTATCTGATCAACAGCAATAAAACAATTTTTTACCATAAATATTTTTCCACACTTACACAACTGGTAATGTGACAGGAAAGCTTCACAGCATGTCATAACATTGTTCCACTTTGCTTTCATGCCTTTTACTTGCTCTATCTGTCCTGTATCTCTTCTTTGTCCATCGTCACCCCTGACTTCTATCTGATCTTTCTCTTCTCCCCATTTCTCAAGTATGAGTCAGACGAGCTGGAGAAGAGTGTGTATCAAGATTACGACAGTGACAGTGACGTCCCCGAGGAGCTCAAGCAGGACTACGTTGACGAGCAGACGGGTGATGCCCCCCTCAAAAGGTCAGTTCCGAGTCAAATTGTTTTACACCACCAAAAGACTCACAGCTACGTGGTATATCCAGGTGTCCTTCACTTCTACTCCTAGCTATTTAAAATGTATGAAAAGTAAAAGTAAGTGAGCATAAAAAGACACAAAAAAGCAAGTAACTCATGTTAATTACAGACAGAAAAATAAAATAATATTTCCTTGAATCTTTTTTTAAGGAGGTTCTAAAAGGATGGGAAGTCATGCATTACGCCAATTTTTATGCATTTAGCAATGATAATTTTAGCTCCCCTCTGCCTAACCCTGCTAAGTAGGCAGAAAGCTTGTGTAAAGCTTTTTGTCTACCCATGAAAAATTCCCTTTCTTCCTTTCTACACCTACATGATTGGTGACTATTGAAAGATTAGTCGCTGTTTAATAAAGGTGGTCATGTGTTTCTCTGCACCTTGTGTAACAGGATTCAATTTCATTTTAATGAGAAATATGAACACAATTGACGAAAGTTTTGTATTTTGCTTATTCAGGGTCTATAATTAATACAAGCAATCACCTTCTTAGCATGTTCTTCCCCTCAAATAGATCTGCATCATAAATAACCACATAAATATGGATGTCTTTGTTGCAGTGCGATGGAGTTCTGAATTTTATAACCCTCCTTGTTCAAGTTTATAATGATTTTACAGTAAACTCACTCCATGTGTATGTGGTGGACTGAATTATTAAGAACCTAGTATTGTGTGTGTGTGTCTACGTGTGTTTGTGCATATCTGAGAGCTGACATCAGATTTTACACCGGATTTGAACGGGAAACAAGACATAAAATACTATTACTTATTCAGTAGCTCCTCGTTACAGAAGCATTGTTATAATGATCATTTTCTGTCATGCAATGTACAACAACTTATTAATGGTATTGTGATGTGTGGTTTGTGCTCAGTGTTGAGTTCTCATATTTTTGCTTCAATTCACAACACATTTGATTCCCTGCTCCCCATGTGTATTAACCTGACATTAGCCTGTAGTCACTAAAATGCTAATTCCCCATTCTTATAACTAATTGTTAATTATTGAATGGCTCACATGGTCACATCCAGAAATTAGAAGGCCCATGTAATGATTGCTGGCTAATATGGCTCAATGATCAGAGTCAGGGGTCTGGTGCTCCAGGATCACCAGTTCAAAGACTTCACCACTGGGGTCCTCCTGTGTCTCCTGCATTGTGTAATGGGTTCTGATAGATCGATTACAAGCCTCTGACCTGCATTAAGGTTTTGAACCTGGCCGATCATTGCTGAGGATTAGTGATGTTAACATATATTACTGAGTCTGTCTCTTACTCATGACTCTGCCCTACTTTCTCTCTCACCCCCACCTACTGCACGCATCAGTGTGTCCCGAGAAACCATAAGAAGCAAGAAAAGGTCAGACTACAACCTAAATAAAACCAATGCACCGATCCTCACCAACACCACCCTCAACGTCATCCGGCTTGTCGGTGAGTCCTGCGCAAACACATTCGCATACACACCTCTACCACTTACCTCTCATTGAGAGCATCCCAGACTCAGCCACAGTGGGTGTCTCCTCTAAGCCTGCTGAGATTTCCATTAATTCACCGATGAAACCAGCAGCTCAGGGTGACTGGTGTGCTCAGGTGTCTGCTGCTACCTGTGTGACTGAGCTGCACTAATAATGGTTAGCCTTTGCCCTAAGCTCTGACCCTTCGTTTCCCAAGGGGTGCTTATGCGTCGTGGTGACGTGGCTTTGAAGACATCGGGGCCCTTCCTTGGCAAAGCGTGCCCTTTGGTGATGTGACCCTCATGATGTGATTTGCATGTGTGAAAAGGAATTAGATGAGGCAGTTATCTCTCCTGTGTAGGTTGTATGACTGAATAAATCTTCTGCTATCTAAAATAATTTAATAACTCAGGCTGATACAGAGCTTCTGCTATTCTTAACATTTTATATTAAAAACAAATCTCTGTTCCCGCCAGTTGTTTTCATTTAAACTGTTTGTCCCTTTTCTGTTCCTACTTCAAAACTCTGCTGCACATAAGGACCAAAATAGAATCATTGTGTTTTTTTTCTTTTGTCTATTTTTCTCACACAATTGGTAATATTGATTTAGAGCCATGTGGCAAAACTGTGCGAAAAGCCAAAGTTTGATTCCAAGCAATCGCTCCTAATTCAGTCTCTGCAGCTCTTTGATGGAGTTAGATTGTTCCCTGCGTTCTTGGTGCAGAATTCAAGTGAAAGGGGCGTGAAAAATGAGACTTGTGAGAGAAATAGTGCTGTCTCAGTGGCAAAGTCAGCTAGATTGAGTTTATTTCTTATTTTCTTTCCTCCATTCATCAGTTCTGAGTCAATGGTAACCTTGTTGCACCCCTGTTCCTCCGTACTCATTGCTTTTATTACCTTGGTGCTAAATTAAATCCGTGCCCTCAAGTGTATGCAAATGAAGTGTGTTCTTGCTGAAGTTCTTCCCTAAAGGATGCAGTTCCACCCTTGATTAACTTACTATAGTTTAACTCTTTTAATCTCCTACAAGATGTACTTAAGAACACAGCCATTTCATTCTTTGTACTAGGTTTGAAAAACTGAAATAAATCCTAATATAGGTGTCCACAATGTCACACCCTGGTATACAACCAGGAACACCAACTTCTGCCAAACAGTTTATATTCTGTCATCTCCACACAGGGAAGTACATGCAGATGATGAACATTTTGAAGCCGATTGCCTTCGATGTCATCCACTGTGTGTCACAGCTCTTCGACTACTACCTGTACGCTGTCTACACCTTCTTTGGACGCAATGACATGGTACAGTATTTTCTGAATCGCTATGCTCCTGTTTAATTTCGCACTCTATGTTTATGTTAAAGAGCAATGAGTAAAACACAGACAGGTCACACACATAGTATGTTCCCACTATATTTTGTAGAGAGGAAAAACATAGCTGCACTGGCGTCTTTGGGCTTTAAGGTATCAGTGTTGTGAACGGGACCACACACACAGCTGTGATGTAGTGTAGAACTACAGCACTGTGGTACATCACTGCTGCACAGGGTGTGGGGAAAAAAAAAGCACGTTGGCTTAGTAGTTAGAAAGAATTTATAACCTTGAATTCAGCACATATTGATCGTGTGATGTAGTGTCGCATTATTTGATGTGCACCAGTTAACACCTATAAAACACATCGGCACACGCGTACAGACAGAACTGGGTGTAAAAAATCGCTGCTTTTCTGATGCGTCTATGAGCGTCAAAATGTTGCCAGTGTGTGAGCTTACATAAGAAACATAGGTATACAGGGTGATTTGGGGGCCTAGAGGTTTAAGGTGCTAACAATGAGCTGCAACATTCACAATTCGTGTTTGGCATATCGTTCCTCCTCTCCCCTCATTTCCATCATGTCATCTCTCTCTTTCGTCAGTTTGAAAAAATAAAGGCATGACATGCTCCACATGTGTTTTGATGTGTATCATACTGTGCAGGTGTGTATCATCCCTTACACTGCTACTAAAAATAAAGAACTGACTTAGCTGTTGCCCAAAAGTAATTGCAAGGCCTTCAGTTGCGTAATATTACTACTACTGCATCAGTGGTATGGTGCTTTAACAAAATTGCATTTATTTCTAAAGATGAACTTATGAATTATTTATGTTTATTAGATGATATACAGTGAGATGAGGGAATAAGCACTGCTTCCATCTTTTCTCATTGCTGTCTGTCTCAAAAAAAAAAAAATCAGTTGAACGATAGGTTACAGTCTGCGAGCCCAGTCTCCCCCACTCCATCGGAAGACTATCATGTCGTTTATACTGCGCCTCACAAAGAAAGAAAACAGCATTTGTGTCAGTATCACCCTCAGGGAAGTGGTAATGATAGCAACAAAATGACTTCTGTCCCATCGAGGTGGAAGAGATAAAGAGGTTGAATGCTCCGCGGGGGCGCTCCGATACACATTATTGGCGTGTTTTTGTGTGTGCGTTATGGGGAGATGTGGGGAGGTGACACACTGGTTGTGAGTTGACAACTTATCAAGCAGTCCCTTTTCTCATGTGTCTCAATCTGACCACTGTGAGTCCATGTACAGTATGTGAGTGTGTTTCCATCCCAAGCTCTTCTTCTTTCTTCACTCGTTAATGTATGTCACTATTTCTCCCCATCGCCATCTACCTCGTCTAAAACTCTTTGTTCCTTATTTACACATATAATTTATGTCATTTTTCTCAGTCAAGCCTGCTCCTTCCCACCCTTCTTTTTTCATCTTTTGTGCCATACAGCATCCTTAATCTTACACATTCTAATCTGCTCCTTTCACATAGCATCGCTTGTCTTTCATCCCTTCTGCCTTTTCCCTTTCATTACTCCCATGCCACTCTTAATCTGTCTGTCTGCATCTCTTTAAACTCTCACTTTCTCTTCTTTCCACTGTACCTCTAGTCCTCAATAAGTGTAATTTCATGAACCCACCCATTTCATGACTAGTCTCACTCAAAGAGGCACCTACAGGAAAATGCTAATGTCCCTATGAATCTTTAAAAAGCTTATGGAAATTGCTGTGCACATACTGTGTGCTGGTGTTTTGACCTAGGCTTTGCTCTCTTTACACTGCTGGAATCAAGATGGAGCTGCTTGCCGTCTTTACTTAAAGAGTAATGAGTGACATTAATATTCAAAAGGGTAAATACCCCATTATCTGTGTATATTGGGCCTGTCAAGTCAAGCTGCACTATTGACTCTGTCACACAAGGTGCATTATGGGCCGTGCTCACAGATTCTCCATCGTCATTAATATTCGGCCATTCTGCTGTGGGGACAGAGGCAGATTTACAAACAGTTTTTAAAAAATGTTTAATGTTTCAAAAGTATGTAAAGCGGTACTCCATGGGAATAACCTTGGACAGAAAAAGGATTTAGTAAGAAAGAGAGAGTAAGACAGAGAGATATAAATGAAAAGATGGAGGCGAGATAAAGATGAGAGACTGTGTACTCTGTCACTTTGTTTTGCTATATGAAGGCAAAAAGAAGGAGGAGAGAGGCTGGCTACCAAAAGAATGAAGTAGGAAAGATGTGTTGAGACAATGCTGCACAGAAAGAGAGATCGGATCAGGAAAATATCTTACTCTTGAATAGATGGCTTCTCTGGAAAATGAGCCCAGTGAAGCAGACTGAATTAAGACTACAATTTAAGATATTAGTTATTCACTGATAGCCAGGGTATCTTAAAGATGGGTTACAATTTTCTTCTCTAACGTAAGACTATTTAATCCCTTTAGGATGAGGGCCAGGTGATTAAAGGGGTTCACCAGCAATTTAATATTGGACTTGCAAACTCAGGATTCAAAAGAAACAGATTTTAAAAGCAGCAGAGGTTGAGATATTTATTTAGACTTTTAGTCTCTAGTATGAGTAAAAATGCTTCAAAAACACTTGATCCTAAATTTCCCATAATGCAAACCAGTAGCATCTTTCATTAGACCCCCCCATTACCCACCCCTTACAAACCCCACATTTCAGGTTTTCTAATAAAAGCCTTCTTTTTAAAGTTTAGGTCTCAAGCCCACACTGAGATAACCCCGATGGCATCATTAGGGTTATTTATTTCAAACCTAGAAAAGCTCCCCCCAGAGGCAGAGTAGACCTTATACAGCTGCTTACACAGGCTGTGCGGTACTAATCATGACTAAAATCACTAAACTGATATTAGTGTGCTAAAGTCATGTGGGACGCTGCTTTTAATGTGGTCATTAACGATGTTGTCTTACCAATTTGCCATACACATCTGTACAGTACAATAAGTGGACTTTTACACATCACCTTTAGTATTGTGGTAAACTAAATCTATTGCATTGTTCTCTCTTTTATACTGATGCCACCCACTGCATAAGATGCATTAAGATGAGTGATGCCTCATTTATGTCAAAGGTTCAAAGGCTAATTTGGAAGTTGCTAAAAATAGTCAGTGCAACTTGAAAGCTTTTAAAAATATGTTTGAAGTCGACTATCGAGAAGCTTTGAACTCTTTGCTGCTTGAGTCTCTAAAACACAGGACGATAAGGACAAACACACCAGTGACAACTAATTCGCAAACATCACCGAGCTTTGTATGAAAGAGGTATGAAAGGGGGACATTGTTGAACTGGCAGTATGTTCCAGTTTCAGTACTCAAGTGCAAGTTAATGTGTGGACACAAATTAGGGCGCTATAATGAATCCTTCAGGCAAGGTTCAACAATAATTGGATAATGTCTTAACTCTTCTAAATTACAAACAATTTAAATGTGCACAATTTACATTTAAATATTACCTCCATTAATCTATTCAGTCTATTCTGTTTGTTTGTTTGCTTCTTTATGCTGTCTTTTTAATTCTGTAACACTTCCTTCACAATTTTTTTGTTCTTCGTTTTTCCTTTCTGCTGTCTGTTCGTCATCAATAGCCTGTCCCAAGCCCGTCTTTGCCAGCTCATGGTGGCAGAGAGGCAGGCACCGCCAGGGTGGTGGGCCCTGCATGCTTGGTAAGAGTAGATCTCCGGAAGTATTATCACTAATACACAAGGCTGTCCCTGCCTTGTGAGTCCAAAATACTAGCTGACGCTTGTTGTGGTGTGGTTGATTTGAAACCCTTAAGGTGTGCGTGATTTTCTCTCTCAAGTAACATCAAGCACATCTGAAAGTGATTTCAGAAGCGTTTAGATGTTGAGTTTGCTCTGCTTTCCCCCTCTCCAAACTCCTCTTTTACCTCTCGTCTGTCATCTACTGTAGCCGGTGTGAGTGCCCAATTTTTTTTATGTCTGTTCCTCCCAGTTACACCTCCCTTTTTTTTGGATTTGAGTCGACTTACTATAAGCAGAAAGTAAAGATTCTCTTGTCTTCGACTACGTGAGATGAGTGTAGATGTTGCGATGTGTGTGTGTGTGTGTCTGCGTGCTTTCACACTCTGCTGAAGTGTGTGTGTTCTCATAGAGGAAAGTGTTTGTGCATGGTGCAGACTCTTAACTGTGTGTGTGTGTGTGT